TGGTTAACAATCATTAATAAAGATGGTGACATAAAGGCCAATTCTCATTAAAAAAAAAAAAAAAACTTGGTGATTACAGCAAAAGCTAAAGTGGGATGTATGGTTGTTATTGTTACAAGAAATAGTGTCCAGTGGGAAGATATCTGTTCCAAAGTGCCAGTGACCTAGCTGAAGGTCAAGTTGTAAGTGCCTGGCAAAATACCACTGAGAAAAGGGCTGCTTGAAGCCAGAATTAAAGGGACACTGACTATAGTTTCACCTGAGGAGATAAAGGAAGAATGAGTAGAGTGTGTAGATCTACACATCTACCATTACTCCAGGGCACTTATGTCTTCCATGTCAACGAGTTTCTATCAACATGATTCCCTAGCTATCAATATGTTTAAAATCAGTTTGGAGACTGATAGTAGAGATCAGCAGGCTTTTAAATACACATGGAACAACTATAATATATATAAGTGGAATTTGCTATATTGCTCAAGATCAAGAGCCTGAAATTTAACATCTGAAGCCACATCCTAACACTAAAGAGTAGTCCTCAACCTTCCTAATGTTGCAGCCCTTGACTCCAGTTCTTTATGCTGTAGTGACTCCCAAACATAAAACTCTTTTCACTGCTACTTTGCAACTGTAATATTGCTACTGTTATGAGCTGTAATGTATATTACAGGGATTGCATATCAGATATGTTTGTAAAATGGCTGTCTGATCCTCAAGTACAACTCACAGGTTGAGAACCATTGCACTAAAGGATATTATTTAGACAGTCTCTGAATTATTTTCAATAAACTTCCACTGTTAGGAAAACGTATCAATCTAAGATGCATCACAGTCAGGCATGGTACTTTACCATTTCAGAGGCAAAAGGCAGAGGGGTCAAGAATTGAATCAAAGACAACTAGGTTATATGTGATCTAGCCTCAAAATTTAAAACAAACAACAATAAAAAGATGCTTTTCAAATTCTCAGGGGATAATCTCTGATGAAATCCTTGTTCTTAGGTTCTCAAGAATCGCACAATGCACTTCTGATAAGTAGCAATTTCTTGGAGGGAGGGGAATGCTTTACAGCTAGCTACATTCTCATCTGTCCCCGCTGGTGAGGTAGAACATGAGTAAATATACCCTAAGAGTCAATGCCAACCTCCACCTTAAATTTCTTTAGAATAAGGAATAAAGGAAGAGGGCTTTAACCACCTTGACCTGGAGCTGGTATACTATGTAGCCAGACTAGAGGAAATGTAGATAAGAGTATCATGGTTTTATCACAGAGATGATAAAACCCTGACAAGCTGAATGAGGAGGCACCTGGAAGAGTACTACAAAGCAGAAGTTACTGAAGTCAGCTCTCCACTCTAGGCCCAGGAAGAGGCAAGGCAAATGCTCACACAGACATACATGCAGGCAAAACACCAATGCACACCTACCAAAACCAAACCAAACCAAAAAAAACAAAACCCACATACTGTATGCATGCACAAAATGCTCAGACAATAAAAATTATTCTCTTTTTAAAAAAAAATTAGAGAGCTAGAGAAATAATTCAGTAGTTAAGAGCACTGGCTGCTCTTCCAGAGGATCTGGGTTCAATTCCCAGTGACCATATGGCATCAAAGAACCATCTATAACTCTAGTTCCAGGGGAATCTGATACCCTCTTCTGGCTTCCAAAGGTACTGCATGCACATGGTACACATGCATGCAGGCAAAATTATATACATAAAATAAAAATAATCTTTAACAAAATAAATTTCTGATTCATAGCCATAGAGTTCTACTTCAAGGCAAGGAACACCGCATTTTTTTCTACCATGATGAACACCAAAATGACTTTCTCCCAATGTCTCTGTCACCTAGTTTCCAGAAAAGTTCAAAGTACAGCGTTGTTGATCAGAAGGGACTTCAATGCCAAAAATTTCATACTTTTAGAGCCCAAAATGTGAGGTTACCAAAAAATTATTTTAAAGAAAAAGAATTTATATCCTGTATCTGTATAGATGGGGCAGAGAAAGAATGGAAGGAAAAGGAAATAGTTTTCTGTTATTTTTTTCTCTTAGAAATGACTTCTTTAGTATTGTATTTATCTAGAAGTATATAACCTAGTTCTATATAAAAAGCAGCTAACAGAGAAAAATGTTTATATATTTACCTTAATCACAAACAGAACTTAATTCCCAGAAGAGCTCCCAACTGATTAATTGAACTAAGGGGTCTATGTTGTTGTTTTGAGGGGCATATGTGGAAAGACAAAAACATTCTTCATTTTCTGTAGCATTTACTCCTGTCATTCCTACTGACAAAGCATGCCTTTCCTGGTCAATTAAACCTCCAAACTTTGACTATTTTAATTCTTTTAAATGAGGTTACTTCTCCAATTCTATAAATTATAAACACAAGTAACTGTTTGGTCAGGCAATTACCAAGTACCACCACCTACAGACCATAGACTGAGCATCAAACAGTATGCTTACATAAACACAAATGGTAAGCCACTACCCACAAAGATAATGTGGGTGGTCACATTTACTTAAAAAACAGGTCAGGGTAAATGTAGCTCAGGGGTAGTAAATGTGTCTAGTAAGGTCAAAGTACTGGGTTCCATACCCAACAAAGAAAAACAGAATCAGTGCCTTGTTAATCTAATAATTTGGATTTTTAAAATTTACAAAGCCAGCCAGTTGGTAGTGGGGGCAGCACATGCCTTTAATCTCAGCACTAGGGAGGCAGAGGTAGATGGATGAGTTTGAGGCCAGACTGGTGTACAAAACGAGTTCCAGGACAGCCAGGGTTGAAGACAGGGTTCCACAGAGAAACCCTGTCTTGAAAAACAGAAACAAAAAAATTCACAAAGTCGTCTCTCACAAAACTCCTTATTTTCTAGTGTTTAAATGCATAGCTTTTAAAACTGTGGTCGAATATCAATTCTTTAGTAATTATTTTTATTATTCTATGTGTATGGAATATACACACGTGTGTGTGTGTGCAGGTGCAGGTGAGGCATTTTCATCTATGGCTTTCCATCTTACTTTGTAAGACAGGGTCTTGCATTGACCCTGAGGCTCATTGACTAAGGGCTGGCTAGTAAACCCAAGGATCCTTCTTTTTCCACCTTTTAGAGCTGGGATTATAGGCATGCATCAGCACAATTTTACTTATTTTTAAATATTGGTGCTGTCGATCTGAATTCAAGCCCTCATGTTTTCAAGGCAAGAACTTTATTCACTGAGCCATCTCCCTAGTCTTCTTAGTAATTACTTTATGACTTGCATTTTATATCTTAATTTCACAACCCCAAAACTGTCTATATAGGAGAATTATGAGTGGCAAGTTGGTCCCTATGCTACTTAAATTTCCATTTCAATCTGGACAAACAATATAAAATACATGTAAATATGCTCTAAAATGTTGGGACAGGGGCTGTGTATACTCTATCCTATTCAGTGGTAGAACACTTGTCTAGCATACTTGAGGCCTTAGGTTCCACCCTTGGGGTGGAGGAGAGGTGTGCTGGGAAGAACTGAGGGTTGAGTGGTGTAGGAACAAGGTCACACCATAAACCCACATCTCTAAATCCTACTATTTTCAGACATGAACTCACTAATTCATCAAATTCTTGAAAGGTGGCAACTACGATCGTCCTTGGCTATTTTTATCAAGTGAACATAATCTAAGTAACATTACCCCTTTGGATATGTAGCAGTTGGTTGTGACCATTTGCCAAATAGGTTGGCTAAATGGTCAAGCAGGACAATTCAAATTGGCCCAAAGAAAGGGGACACTGTTAACAAGAGACTTGGCTTCTGTGCTCTTTTCTTCCCCGTGTCCACAGGCTTTTCCAGTTCGCCCAATTGTGGTTTTCCCAAACTTTTCCTTCTTAGAAAGGCTCCTAAAGGGCACTAGATTAAGGAAACATGATTCATGACAGCACGTACATTTTAAAATAGGGACGGGTCAAAGCAAACAGACTACAATCGGTATAACTGTAAAAGCAAGGTCTGCGAACAAGGAAATCTTTTTCATGCTCGTCTGTCCATCATTCCTGTGCTAGAGGAAGAAGAGTAACTTAAAATGTTTCTTTTCTAAAAGAACCTCTAAACAATCTTGATGCACACTATAGCAAATGTTACCAAGCCATGAGGTTAAGCGATTAAAAAGTTACCATCTGTCCTTAGCATGAGAAGCATAAAAGATTTAGTCAATAAGCTATTTTTAAATACCTCAACAAACTTAAGCACTCTGCTATCATAAAGAAAATCCAGTAGTTAAAACTAACTTCAAACTATAATAAACCTCAGAACGACTCAAAACAGGTCTCAAAATCCTAGATCCAAGCTCAAGTGCTTGTTCCAGCTTGTCTGTCACTTTCCACACCAACGTGTGTGTGTGTGTGTGTGTGTGTGTATGTGTGTGTGGCAGAGGCCACCCACACTCAGCCTAAGTAGATCTCAGGTCTCCCAAACCTCCCTATTTCCGGTTTTCGTCCTCCCTCCCCCCTCCTCCCAGAAACCTAAACCAATTAACTCTAATGAGTCAATAGCCAATAAAACAACTCCTAAATTACCTTTTCCCAGTTTACGAAGGCCGCTACGACTAAAGGGATTGGTAAGAGTTACGGTGGAACTTGCAAAAGACGGGTGAATTGTTGAGATAATTGCTCTTTCAATTCACAAGGTCTACTAAGCCTTTCTTGTGTGCAGAGAGGCCCTTCAGGGTAGCAAGACCGGAAGTCGATGCAGGTATTGTTGACACAGTAAAACAAAACAAAGCAGCCCTCTTCAACAAACCACACCAACAAAATACCCACACCACCAAAACAACTGCCCGAGAGCACGCTCACCCCACCCCACCCCTCATCACGAGCCCCGGGAGGAAGAGAGCGAGATGGCCACGGCGAGAGCCCCGGGGAAAAGGTCGGGGCCCGGGCAGTGCTGCGTGGCTTGCGGCCTGCAAGCCCGAGCTCGCAGGTGGGGCGTGCGGGAGGCGACGCGGGGTCGGCGTTTACCTGCGGCGAAGTGGAGCGGAGTGGACTTCCTGCCAGCCGTGTCGCGGCTGTTCACCTTCTCGGGCGTCACTAGCCTCTTCACTCGCTCCACGTCCCCGTTGCGGCAAGCCTCGAACAGCTCGCGGGCAGACGGCTCTACGGCCTCGGCCACCGCGCTCGCGCAGGCCGCGCCCCCGCCGGCGCAGCGGCGACCAGACATGATCCTGGCCGCCGCCGCCGCCAGCAGCAGCGCCAGCAAAGGCAGCAGGAGCCCCGGCCCCGCGAGCAGGAGGGCGAGGCCCCCCGCAGGAGACGCGCTCAGGGCCCGGGCCGCTTGGCTCCCCGCTGTCACCAGAGCCGGCGCAGTCCCATGGCCGCGCCGCCGCGCGCCCCCTGCTCGACTCCGTGACCCCCGGCTGCCCCACCGCGGCGGAGGCAGCGCGAACCCGCCCGCCGAGCCCCGGAGCGACGCGGCGGCGGAAGCAGCCGAGACCACTCCCGCCAGCTCGGTCGGGTCCTGGGAGCGCGCGTGACGTCAGCTCGCGCGTGCGCACTGGCTGCACTCCGGCCGGGCCGGCCTGGGCGAGCGGGGCGGCGCGGAGGGGTTTGTGGGAAATGTGCAGCGAGCGCCTTTGGTTGTGGGAAGGGAAGGGGCTTCGGCCCACCGCCATCTTTACGGAGCCTCTGCTGAAAACGGCAGGGCTCCCTGTCTTTTCTTTCCCTTAAAGCACACACCTTCCAGGAGGAGTTTCAGTGAGCCTTTGCAAGTTTTGCTCCGGGCATGCATCTTCTTTTGGAAGTCGTAGTGTAGGAAATTTCTGGGTTTTTTGCTTCCATACCTGCCTGTAGGAGATTCCTGCTCCCCACTCCCTCTCTCGTTTTCTTTACTGTGTCTCTTCACTTAACCGTCGCATCTGTTTTTGTTTTTCTCGGAAGCCTTTCCTCAGAAACGGACTCGTTGCTCTTACTGAGAACTTTGGATGAGCGGCCCTAAGTCAAGAAAGCGATGAAAGTTAATTCTAAAGCAACAATTGGGGGGTGGGGTGGCTCTGATTAGCTACATTTCCCATAGTAAATGATTAGCTCAGCGCTGACTAGAGAATCTATATATAAATCAGTATTGTTACCGGATGTGGCCGAAGGTGCCGGTACATTGAGCGTGCACGTCAAGAAAGTTTTTTGAAGTTTTTTTTTTTTTCTTTAACCCTGTGATCAAAGAGTACAAGCGCACAATTCACTTTTGTGTTTAAGGTAATAGTGACATCTTTGTGTATGATCTTGTTTCAGAAACCCGAAAGAAAGGTTTATATAGATTTTGCTCTCATGGAAGTGCTGGCCTTTGTCATGCTGACAAGCATTTCCCTCAGTGAGTTTACTTTACTTAACCTGTTTTCAGGAAATCCAGTTTTTGTTTGTGAGTGTTGACTCACTGCTGTGGGAGAAAAGCAGGGTACACTTTTTAAAGCATTTTAGTCAATGGGAGCATTGTTATATGTGTTTATTGTAGAACTGTGTTCTTTAGTGTATTTTTAAATTGATACATCTTAATAAAATAAACATTCATGAACATACCTAAGGATTAGAACACTACTGATATGATTGTGCCGCACATTTCTTCATTTCATCTACTTGCCAGATATATTCCCAATTCTTTTTTATTTAATAATTTCTGCCTATGCATTTGCTTCCAATATATGTATCTTAAGCAACATCATGCTGGCACAGCAAACACTTTACCTACTGATCCATGTAGCATGGTAAATAAAGGACCCAGAGACTGATATTAGGGTCAAGCTTCAATCTGAAGATCAGACAAGGAAAGCAGGCCGACACTAGCTCTTCTTAGGTGTACCTCAGCTCAGACCAAAGGAGCAATCCTCAGACTTCTCCCTACTTCACTGCTGGGATTAAAGGTGTGTATCACCATGCCTGATCTCTATAGCTTGAGGGTGGGTTTGTTTTCTGAATCCTCAGGCAAGCTTTAATAAATCATAAATAATATATCATCACAGATCCATCTCCTACACCCCTGACATTTTTTTTTTTAAAAAAAACATCATATATGATTTCTAGAAAAATGCAGTTGAAAACCACATTAGGATGGCTATTCTAAAACAAGCAAACAAAAATAACAAATGTTGATAGGACAAATTAGAATCATTTTCCATTTTTGATGGGTTCATAAGTAAACTGTATTCATTTTAGAAAACAATTTGGCAGCTCCTCACAAAACTCAACATATTGGGACTGAAGAGATGGCTTGGTGGTTAAGAGTACTATCTGTTCTTCCTAGGACTTGGTTTCAATTTCCAGAACCATAGCTCTAGTCTCAGGATCTGTTGCCCTCAGCCAGGCAAGGGACAAGTTGAGGCTACAACAGAGATGCCAGGATGATACAGATGCCTGTAGAAGAAAGCTGTAGGCACAGAGTGAAGTTTTCTGAGAGAGAGGCTGTGGATGGCAGAGCTGGAGGGGAGAAGCCACCTTTGGAACTCAGGTGATTCTGTCACACATCCACCATGTAGGATTTAGAGCTACAGAAGTTGGTGTTTGCCCTGCTGGCTTTTATTCTTGTTTTGTCCCTAACTTTCCCTTGTTGTGTCCTGTTTCTCCATCTTAGAACAGGAATGTTTACTCTATGGCATTGGGTATTGGGACTTTGTAACTTAATTTTTAATGTTATAGGGGCTCATAGTTAGGAAATTGCACTGAGGCTCAGAAGAGACTGCTTAGAAACTGCTGTGTTAGGACTGTTAAAGTCCCCTGCAGGGACTTTTTAGGTAGGAATGAATGCATTTTGAACCATGAAAAGTCTGTAGGTACCAGGGACAGAATGTTCTTTGAATGTGAAACATCCCATACGGTCATGGATTTGGACATTTAGTCTCCTGCTAGTGAATGGTGTTGATGGTAGAAGGTTGTAGAACATTTAGGAGATGAGTTCTCACTAAATGAAGTGGGTCACTGAGTGTTGTGGAAAATTATTTTAAGGTGTGTTGCTTTTGTTAATGCTGAACTTGTTTAACTCTGTGACTCTGAGATTCTTTGCCTGTCTAAAACACCTGGTGGTTTAATAAAGAGCTGAATGTTCAATAGCAAGGCCAGAGAAAGGATAGGCAGGGCTGGCAGGCAGAGAGAATAAATAGGAGGAGAAATTTCAAAAGGGGAGGGAAGAAGGAAAAGAAGAACAAGGAGAGGAAGATGTCAAGGGCCAGTTACCCAGCCAGCCAGCCACAGAGCAAGAGTGAAAGTAGACTAGACAGAAGTAAGGAAAGAAAAAGCCCAGAGGCGAAAGATAGATGGGATAAGTTAAGAAAAGCTGGCAAGAAACAAGCCAAGATAAGGCCTGGCCCTCATAACTAAGAATAAATCACTCTGTGTGTGATTTATTTGGGAGCTGGGTGGTAGGCTCCCAAAAGAGCAAAGAGCCAGAGAGAAAAATGGAAGAAACCAGCGACAGCTGAGGGTGGCCTTGAGCTTATACAAGCCCTACTTTCTGGTCTTTTCTCTGCTTCCTGACTGTGGATGCAGTGTGACAGCTGCCTCTAGTTATAGCTACCATGCCTTCCCCACCTCAGTGAACCATATCCCCCGCAAAACAATCCCTTCCTCCCTTAAACGATTTCCTCTTAAAATTTACAGTATTTTTATTAATTTTTGAGTTTCATAAATGTGTACAATGTACTTTGATCATATTTACCCCTCAATCCTAACTCCTGGAGCCACCCCAACTCCTTCCAACTTTGTGCCCTCTTTTGCTTTGTTTTTTTTAATATTTAAAAATATATATCTACATATATGACCATATATAGTTACATACATATAACTATAATTATATACATAAAACAGTATACATGCACATGCATATATATGTTCACACACACATACATACATACATATATATGTATGTATTATTCTTTTTTTTTTTTTTTGAGGCAGGGTTTCCCTGTGTAGACTTGGCTGTCCTGGAACTTAATCTATAGACCAAATTGACCTCAAGCTGACAGAGATCCACCTGCCTCTGTCGCCTGAGAGCTGGAATGAAAGGTGTGCACCAATATCACCCAGTTTAAAAATATTTAAAAAATTATAACGTAATTACACCATTTACCCCTTACCTTTCCTCCCTCCAAACCCTCCCATGTACCCCCTTGCTCTCTCTCAAGTTCATGGCCTCTTTTTCTTTAACTGTTAGAGAGAGAGAGAGAGAGAGTGTGTGTGTGCGCGTACGTGCGTATCCCTAAAATATATAAATAATACCTTCTTAGTCTGTATAATGTTACTTGTATTCATATGCTGTATTTTCTTTTTCTTTTTCTTTCTTCCTTTCTTTCTTTCTTTCTTTCTTTTTTTTTTTTTTAAATCTAATCCACCAGTCCAGTTTCTGCTGCCTACACACTCATGGATGTGGGGCTATCCACTGGAGCATGGTTGACCTAACAGGGAGGTCCACAACTTTTTGTTTGTTTGTTTGTTTGTTTTTCAAGACAGGGTTTCTCTGTGGCTTTGGATGCTCTTGTAGACCAGGCTGGTCTTGAACTCACAGAGAATGCTTGCCTCTGCCTCCCAAATGCCCAGCTGGGAGGCCACAGTTTTAAAGAAAACTCTCTCCTTATCTAGAAGGCACCAATTGTCAATAGCATTTCAGCTAGGGGTAGGGTTTGTGAGCCTTTCCCAATGTGACTGTTGACTGACAGCTCCCAGTTCTCTTGTGCAAGTCTTCTGCAGGCAATCACAGCTGCTGTGAATTCAAGGATATACAGTCCTGCCATGTCCAGAAGATGTTGGCCCCAGTTCTTCCTAACCTTTCATCCTTAAATCTTTCTGCTCCCTTCTCCATGATGCCCTCTGAACCCAGGGAAAGGGAGTGTGATATAGATGTCTCACTTGTGTTTGAACACTCCACAGACTGTAATTTTCTGCACTTTGAACTATTGTAAGTTTCTGAGTTAATTACCATCCACTACAAAAAAGAAATTTTTTTTTCTGAGAGGTCTGAGAACTGTACTAAACTATGGGAATAGATATCCAAATTTAGAGGGCAGTGTGATACTGTGTCCACTCAACAAAATAATAGAAATAATAGTAGTAGGCTTACTGGTGGGGCCCATGAGCTCTTCAACTATGTGTTTTTGGCCAGATTTATAGTCCCAAGAATGTGTTTCCTCCTGTGAAATTTAAGCAGAAAGTAATTGGGTTATCCCCATAACAGCTGTGCCACTATTACACCCATGGGCATATCTTGCCATGCTGGTAATTATTATGGCTCACAGACTGTTGATAACTTTTCCTCCTAGCATCTGGCATAGTGCTTTCCAGTTTTATAAAAGCCAGAAGGAAGCTTCTTGGTTATTACCAACTTGATTTCTCCATATGCCACCAAAGTGTGTGATACCTCAAATAGGATCTTAGAATCAAGTTCTGGTGGGCAACCAAGAACAATGGCAATAGCTATATTATTTTGGGGGCATCTTCTGGGTGGTGTTGTATGTCATCTTGACACAAGCTAGAGTCATCAG